GCGGGCGCAGGCAGCGTTGGCTCCGCTATGGTGGGAGCTGGAGCCGGGGCCGGGGCCGGGGTCGGGGCCGGGGCCGGGGCCGCGGTCGGGGTCGGGGCCGGGGCCGGGGCCGGGGTCGGGGCTGGGGCCGGGGCCTGGTCGGCAGCCAAGGCGAGGGGCAGAGTGGGAGCCGGGGCGGGAGCCAGAGGCGCCGCCTCCAAGTGGCCCGGGCGTGGGGTGGGAGGGTGGCCCGGGCGTGGGGTGGGAGGGCGGGCCACGGGCAGCGGCGTTAGCTGGAGCACGGGCGGCTGTGGTGTCGGCGGCGGCGCGGGAGGCGGCGTGGGTGGTGGCGTGGGCGGCGGCGGCGGTGGTGGCACCTCCTGTGGGCCTCCCGGCCCTGGACTCACAGGCTCGCCATTGGTGGGCGCCGGGAAGATGAACATAGGCGGCGCCAGCAGGGCCGGTGCAGGCCTCCGGGGCCCGGGAGCTGGGTGCGTCTGCCCTGGCGGAGGCGGTGGGGAGCCCCAGGGCCCTGAGAGCGCGGCCGCCCGCCGTCTGGGCACCCCGACACCAACGCCGGCTCCATTGAAACGGAAGTGGCGTTCGGGGCCGTCGGGAGGGCTCACCCAGTCAAATTTGGGCTTCGAGCCTGGAAAGGTGGTGTACGGTGGCGGCGGAAGGGTCCTGGCGTGGGACACAGGCGCCGAGGGGGGTCCAGGACACCCCTCGCGGTCTCCATCACCGCCTTCTGCTTCCTGAGTCCCCCGAGGGACCTCTCCCGAGGGTCGAGCGGCCCCAGGGGACAGGGGCCCCTGCTTCAGGACCTCAGCGTAAGAGATGGAACCCGAGGCGGCAGCGAAGAGTTCTCCGCCTCCGCCGCCCCTCAGCGAGGCTTTGGCCGCTAAGGAACTCGAGGCTGCCGGAGGGGCCAAAGTGGGCCCCGACTTGAAGGTGACTTTACACAGCAGACTCAAGCCGGACTCGGAGACCGTAGGCCGGGCCATTTCGCCCTCGCCCGCTTGGGGAGGCGCCCCTCTGCGGGCTCCAACGGCCGTCTGGCCCTCGCTGCCGTACCCGACCTGGCTTTCTGTGGGGGGTCTGGCGGGTGTGGCCAGAGCAGGAATGATTCTGTGGTCCAGGGGCTGCCGGTCGGAAGGTGGCGGTGGTGGCAGCTTCCGCGGCTCCAAGGGCGGCTGAGTAGGGGATGGGGCCCTCGGGATAGAGTTGGGGTCCTCTCCAGTTAGTTGCCGGGGCGGCGGCGGCAGCGGACGGAGGCTCGGAGGATCGCCCTGGCCGCGATGGCTCGCCTCCAGCAGACCGCGGATCCGGGGCACCGGAGTGCCTGTGGGTTTTCGCCACTTAGACGGCGCGGGCATCAGGGTCCCCACGGGGGGCGGGGGTGGTGTGGAGACCGCGGCCGCAGCCGCCTCCTCTGAAAGGGGCGTCACTGGCGAGGGCAGTTGTAAGGTCAGGGGTAGGGGCGAGGTTGAGGCCTGGGGCTCCGGGGGTACCAGGATTCCCGGGGGCGCGGAGCTGCCAGGGAACCAGACGCCCAGCCCGCGAGCCAGGCGCATGGCTGGGGAGGAGGGGGTCACCTCGGGCTCCACCAGGGACGTCCGGCGGGAGTCAGAGGAGCGGTCCGAGGCTTGCTCTTTTCGGGAGCCCCCGCCCGCGGACGGCTCCGACTGCACGTTCCCCATTTCTGACGGAGGTCGGGGACTGTGGTCAGAAAAACTTCCGCCAGTCAGTTTGCTAAAACTGTGGGGACTCCAAGAGGCTGGCTGTATTTGGTCCTACCGGCCCACCCCAGACCCGCCCCTGTGTTCCAAGATCCACCCAGGCACTAGTCGCTACCCGCATTCCTGTTACCTGACTCTCGAAGCTCGAGCGTTCTTCCCCATAGCCCCAATCAACTACCGTCATGCCTTCTTCCTCATGGCCCCATTCAGCTGCTGTTCAGACACTTAGGCTCCATTCTCTTAGTGTACTGAGGTTCTGTCCCTGTCCCCTCACCCTACCCCAACTTGTCCCTCAGGGCACATCCCTACACTTTGACCAGGTTCCCGGTCTCTAGGCTCCAAGACGCAGGTCTTGCCCGCTTTCCTGTCAGTCACTCAGGCCACATCACTCATGATGATTGTGCTCAGGAGCCTGTAAGGCCTGCAAGGAGTTCAAACCTCTCCCAGTCTTCTAACCTGGCTCGGGAGGCCCAGGCCCCGCCCCTGCTCTCTGGTCCCGCCCCCGATTGTCGGTATCGGGCCTCAGCACCCGCCCCAGGTCTGGCCCCGCCTCCGCGGTATTCTTGTCTGGCTAACCCCTTCGTCCTCACCTCTAACCCTCCGATCCCTGCCTCTGTGTCGATCATTTGAGTCTCGCCCTCTTCCCTGGCAGCGTCAGATCTTCAGGCCTCACTCCTAAACTTTTCCGGCTCCTGGTCTACCAGCCGTCTTCAACACTCAGGCCCCACCCCTTTCTCCAACTCCGCCCTGGCCCCGCCTTCGCCCAGAGGTTCCCACTCACCGACTCCTCCAACCGACCAAAGTTCAGACCGCGGCCCCCTGGGCCCAGGGCAGGACGGGGAACGGCCGTAGCAGAAAATAACCGAAAAGAACGGGAATGAAGCGGGTGATGGCAAGTGGGCGAGACAGCGAGGGCGGACCCCGAGATCTAGGCCCCGCCCCCGGGCTCGAGGCCCCGCCCTCCGGTGAACCGGCTAAAGGCCGGCCCCTTACGAACCTGGATCTCCCTTTGAAATATTCCGACGTCTTCTTCCCCGCCCCCAGGCCTTGAAGTCCTAGGCCCCACCCCTTTAGAATATTATCCTTAGCCCCTCCCCTTTGTAAGTGCTCCGCCCCTCGTCGTTAGTCCCTCCCTCGAAGCTCCGCCCATTACGAACGCTGCTACGTAGCTCCTCCCTTTCAGCTCTCTCATGGGCCCCGCCCATAAGACAATTTACTTCTAAACTCCACCCTTTTAAGACCCCACAACATCTCTTCTCAAGGCCCTCTCCTTCCTCGGGCCTGCCTAGAAGGCCCTTCCACCGTGGAGCCGCCCCTTCCATGACGCAAGCGCTTTTCCGCGCCCTCGGCTTCCTCACCGACTCTCCTTCCCAAGGCCCTCCGACCCCGCCCCCTTGCGAAGGCTCCCTTCTCGCCCCACCCCTTTTCGAACCCTATCAGGTACTCAGCTCCTCCCATTTAGAACCCAAAGCGAAGACCCTCACCTCTTTAGAACCCTGAGACCAGGCCATGTCCCGGACCCTTCCCCACATCCTCAGGGATCAATGGCGCGGATGGGTGGGAAAGTGGGGGATCCTTTCTGGATCCTGAGAAAATGGGGGCTGGGGGGCTGTTCTCTGGAGCCAGTGACGGGCTCTAGGACCCAGCGGGCAAGTACGCCCGCCTCGCGCTTACCCCTCCCCCAAGCCGCCCCCTCCCCCTCACCCATCTTCCAGGTTCCCCCTCCCTCCCCCGTCGCCCCGGCTCCCGGTGCCCGTCTCTAGCGCCGCCGGAGCCAGCGAGGGAGCCGGAGCGAACAGGAGGAGGAGGAGGAGGAGGAGGAGGCCAAGTCGCCGCCGCTCGGAGCCCGGCCGGAGCCTCCCAGGCAGGTGCCAAGGGGGGCGAGGGGGCGGGGGCTGACAGACCGCCTGTCCCGGTGAGGGGGCGGCCTGGACCGCGCTGCGCCTCCTGCCCACCGGGGCGCCCCCAAGACCGCGGCTGGAAGGACAGGGGTTGGGGGCTCCTAAACTGCGCGGCAGCCATTTAGGGTACCAGTCTCCATTTGGGGGCCTGGACTTCTCCGAGGACGCCCCATTCATAAAATTCCGAACTGGACCCCCACCATTGAGGAACTCTGGGGACCACTCCCCCAGGGAAACAGATGTGTGGGGAGCATAGGGCATTCAGAAATCCCGGCGTCCCATCCCAGCTAGGCCCTGGGGGACCCCTGCCCTCTTTCTCCGCTTCACCTGTTGTCGGGGGAGGCGGGCGGACAAAGGAAGCAGTATCACGTGACTGCTCATTCACAAAATCCCATCCCATTGAGAAAAGGGGGCTGGGGGCGCTGCGACCGCCCCTTCCCCTCCCGAAGGGCCGGGAAAAACCGGCAGCCTGCAGGTGGGGGAAGGGGCTAGAGCTCGTTGCCTGGGTCCCTAAGGTTGAGACGCCAGGGTCCCTGCGCTAGGTGGTAGTGAGGGGCTGGACGCTGATCCGGATTACTGGGCGGAGGGCTACGTCCCCTGAGCTGGGGGGCGGGGTAAGATGGTTCTGAAGGATGCTGGGGCGGGGAGGGGGAGGAGGAGGGATCAATTCTCCACCTCCCCTCAATGTCTCCCCCTTGCCTTCCTTCGGCTGGGACCTGAGGGAGCAGGCTTGATTTTTGTGAATGAAATGCACTCTGGTTGTGTCTCGGTCGCCCGTTTCTGGCTTCTTCTGCCTCCATCTCCCTTTCGGCCTCTCTCTGGCCATTTCTGGTTCTCTCCCTGCTCCCTGCCCATCTCCCGTTGCTGGGTGACTCAGTGAGCTTTGCATCCGGTCTCATTCATAAATCCGGGAAGGTGGGGGGGAAGAGAGCCTGGGTTTCTCACCCAGCCAGTGGCCTGGGCGGCAGAGTGTGGAGGCAGTGTAGGGGGATCTGGAGCTGAGTTGATGGGCTCTAAGAAAATACATATGCGCAGGCACCCAGCTGTGAGGGGGAACGATGGGTGGGGCTGTGGGAATGTGCTGAGGGAAGAGAAGGAGACTAGGTTGATAGGGGAAGAGCCGGAGGGGGAAGGGAGGTGGAAAACCGAGGCTATGGGGGTCAGGATGGGGCCGATGGGGAAAGGGACAAAGGTGGGTATGGAGAGGAAAAGTAGATGTGGAGAAGCTAAGCCTGGGAGAAAAGAGACGGCATGAGGAAGAAAGAAGCCATGCTGGAAGAAGGTGGGCATGGGGCGGGGGGTGGGGAGAAGGCAGGGATGTCAGAGAAAGTGAAAATCGGTGCGTGAGGGTGCAGCGGATCCAGATGTGAGGGACGAAGAGGGGGGGATGAGGGTTGGGGGAACTCTGAATGGGAGAGCAGCCCTGCAGCCCACTGACTGTGTTGCCCCCGCCTCCCCACGCCCTCCAGGTACATGGTTCCGGTCCGAGCCGTGGTGATGGCCCGAGATGACTCCAGTGGGGGCTGGCTGCCTGTGGGGGGCGGGGGCCTCAGCCAGGTGAGCGTTTGTCGGGTCCGAGGGGCCAGGCCCGAGGGGGGGGCCCGCCAGGGGCACTACGTCATCCACGGGGAGCGCCTTCGGGACCAGAAAGTGAGCCACCCTGGGGCGTGGGGGTAGGGTGGGGACGCGGGGGAAGGAAGGGGATGGGGCTGGGAGTGCAGGGTTGAGGTCAGGTCATCTCCCAGCCCAGAAGCGACCCCCGGGCGTGGGATGTAGTTGGAACTGAGTATCTGTCTTTCGGAGAACAACTGGGAGTTCTGAGAATATCTGGGGTATCGAGCAGGTCCTGTCCACTGCCATTGCCCAATGGGCCATCACAGCAGCCTCCTCCTCATTCCTGCCCTGCTCCTGCTCCGTCCCCCAACCTCGGTCTGTTCCACAGGGGCCCTGCTAACACCTGACTCAGATCATGTCCTCCCCTCTGCTCAGAACCCTCCTGGGCCTCCATCTTGCTCAGAGATCCCCACACCACTGGCCGCTGTCTGCTCTAAGTATATGGAGGCATTTGGTGGGGGACCATCTGGACGTGTCAAATAGGGTTTACAATCCTATATGTGGGTTTGGCAGGAATATTCTGGGCTGCTTGGCATGATTTGGAAGGCCAACGGTTGAAGTTTCAGCTGGGGGTGTAGTAGAAAGACTTGGATTGTTTGAAAAGCCTTGGGGGATGGCTTGCATTTCCGAGCAGGGGTCAGAAGGAACAACGTAGGGGGATTTGAACTGGTGTGATTTGAATATGGTGATTATTGGGCAAGGATGTGAGGAAACATCAGTTGGTGTTGGCCAGCATCTGAGGGGAAAGCTATGGGAGTTTGATAAGAATTTTGGGAGATTGTTGGGGCATCAGAAGGAGATGAACAGTAATATTTTGAGCTGCTCAGTAAAGTTTGGGGAGTATTATTGAGTCAGAAGGAGGGACGTGGGGTTATCAGAAGGGGGTATGAGGAAAATATAGGGATCAAGGGGCTTGGGGGAAATATTGGGGTATCAGAGGTGTGCTCAATAAAATTGGGAAGTGGTGTTGAGGTGCTGATCAGGGTTCAGGGGTACACCTAGGATTGACAAATGAAGTCTGTGGGATGCTGAGGGATGCAGATAGGCGGAGGGTTGAGAGGAAGTCACGGGCATGGTTGGAAGGGGGTGTCTGACCTGCCCCACTCCTGACCCCTCAGACCACCTTGGAGTGTACCCTGAGGCCAGGCTTGGTTTACAACAAAGTGAACCCCATCTTCCATCACTGGAGCCTGGGTGACTGCAAGTTTGGACTGACGTTCCAGAGTCCCGCAGAGGCTGATGAGTTCCAGAAGAGCCTGCTGGCTGCGCTGGCTGCACTGGGTCGAGGTGAGTGGCACAGGTGGTGGGCACTGGAGGATGCGGTGGGAGGACTGGGAGAAGCTGGGGCCCAGGGCATTCACTGTCTGCCTCTCTCCCTGCCCCAGGCTCGCTTACCCCCTCTTCCTCCTCCTCTTCCTCCTCCCCTTCCCAGGACACCGCAGAGACTCCCTGCCCTCTGACGGTGAGTCTCCAGGAGGCAGCTCTGCTGGGAGGGCAGGGGTTTATTTCTATTCTCTAAACATTCTTGAGCATCTCTTGTGTATCAGGCAGCATGCCACATGCTGGGGACACAAATTTGGGCCCAAACTATTAGTGTCAACTTAATGCCTGTTATCCTAATTTTCCTATTCTATTGTGAGTCACATATTCATTCAAGAGTATTTATTGAGCACCTGCAAATAAGTAGTGTTTTAGGCACTGGGGATACATCAGTGAACAAAACAAAGTCCCTTTCCTCATGGAGCTTCTATTCTAGCGTGGAAAGGCAGAAAATTAAAAAAAAAAAAAAAAAAAGGATAAGCCATACTTTTTATAGTGAACAAATTAATGACAAATCCCATCCTTCTAGTTACTCAGGGTACCAACTTTGAAGTCATCCTTGACTTTTGTCCTCTTTTATGCTCCTCATCTAATCTGTCATCAAATATTGGCTTCATCTTCAAAATGATTAGCATCTGCCTCCAACCTGGTGCTGTCCAACCTCATCTGCCAACCGGAGCATCTCACCAACTTCTTATTGTCAGCTGCCCCCCTCCTATTCCCTACTGTCTGGAAGTTCCCCACACACAGCCAGAGGGACCCTATCGACATCTAAGATTGTGGCCATCCCTCCACTCAGAATTCTTCCAGGGGTCCATCTCACTCAGGATAAAGGACAAAGCATATAAGATCCCATACCACTTGGCCCCCTATTCTCCCTTTTGCTCACTCTGCTCCAGCCACACTAGCCTTCTCACTGTTACTCCAACATGGCAGGCACATTCCTGTCTCAGGGCCTTTGCACTAGCTGTTCCTTCTGTCTTGGAATACTCTTCTCCAAATTTCCACGTGGCTCATCCCCCTACTTCCTTCAGGGTTTTATACACATTTCGCTTTCTTTGTGAGGCCCTTCCTGAGTAAGCTGTTCAAAACTGTGATGTCCTGATGCTCCCTATCCTGTTCTAATTTTTTCCCATCTTCTAAGATATTTTCCTTATTTCCTTCCTATATAGACAGTTTTCTTTTTTTTTTTTTTTAAAGACTTTATTTGAGAGAGAGAGATAGCAAGAGAGAGCATGAGCAGGGGGGCAGGTGGGGAGAGGGAGAAGCAGGCTCCTCACAGAGCAGGGAGCCTGACTTGGGGCTCAATCCCAGGACCCCAGGACCATGACCTGAGCCAAAGGCAGCCACTTAACCAACTGAGCCACCCAGGCGCCCCAGTATAGACAGTTTTCTTATCTGTTAGTTTATTGCCTGTCTCCTGTGCTAGAATGCCAGCTCCAGGAGGGCAAAGGATCTTTTGTTGCTTTCTTGCTGCATCTCCGAGACCTAAAACAGTGCCTGGTATACAGTAAGTGTTCAGTAAATATGTGTTGAATACATTTATTGAATGAATAAATGCACATGATGTCAGATGCGATTTGGCATTTGCTGGGAACAGTGGGAGTTGCTGAGACTTCGAAGAACAAAATTGGTTCCCTGGGCAGAAAAGTGGGAATTTATACGCAGGGTCGTGGGGGAGGTGGGTGGGGCTACAGAAATCACGCAGACAGGTCCCACGTATTTGGTGCTTTTTCAAGAAAGAAGCCGACTTCCCATGCTCCATCTTACGTTCTTGCAACGGACTTGCGTGAGCCTGGCACGCTGTGGGTGCTCAATGAATGTTTCCTGAAGATAGCAAATGGATGAAGTCAGAATGACCCCCCAGGTTACAGAAAAGAAACTGAGGGTCTGAGAAGTGACTTTTCAGTTTGTAAAGGACAGGTGGTTTGGAAGGAACACCTTCCCGGTGGGTGGAGCTGCCCCAGTCAAGGTGTGGGGGTGGGAATAAGTCAGGAAGGTGGCCGACTCGCCAAGGGAGAAGGGTTCTGAGAAGGGAGAAAGATATTTGGATGTTCAGTAGGTCAGCAAGCTGAGTGGATAAAGAAGAGGGGGTCCAATAATAAAAACAGTAACCATTTCTAGCTCTTCCTGTAACTTCAGGCATGTGTTATACCCTTTACAGTGGGTCCTAACCACATCCTTATGAATAGACACTATTATGATCCCCGTTTTACAGAGAAGGAAACTGAGGCTCAAAGAGATGAGCTCACTTGCCGGAGGTCACACGACCAGTCAGTGGCAGAGCCGGGGCTAGCACCCAGGCCTGTCTGGCTGCAGAGCCCTCGCTCGCCATGGGAGGGGGTCTATGTGAGGGCATCGGCTGTGCCGGGGGTCCGGCTCTGAGGCCGCCACTCTCCCCCAGTCCCATGTGGACAGCGAGTCCTCCTCCAGTCACAGCCGCCAGGAGACGCCTCCCACCGCCCCGGCGGCGGCCACTATCATTACCGTGGAGTCAGCTTCTGGCTTCGGGCCGGCTTCGTCACCCCAGCGCCGCCGCTCCTCTGCTCAGGTGCGACCTCCCACCTCCCGCGGAAGTCTGGGGCTGGGGGGCGGGGGTGGGAAGTGGGGTAGGGTGACGGGGTCCAGAAGGAGGTGGGAGCTGAGACCCCAGAAGAGCAAGAGACCACAAACAGATTCTAGGGGATGGTTGGCTTGAATTCGTGGCAGTGATGGTGGGGAGGGTGCTTGGGGACGGAGGTTCCCCGGAGGGTCGGTGAGGGCTTTCCCCGTGTCTTGGAGATTTTGGAAAGTTCTGAGTTCTGAATTCAGAGGGGCATGGGGGACGACTTGGACAATTCTTCGAGTGTATTAGGGAGTTTTTCGTACTTGTGGAAGGAGTTGTTTAGACTGCTTAATTCATTGGGAGGGGCATGGGCTCCAAGGGGGTTAACGCTCCCTGGGGACTGGATTTCTGCGTCCTGAAGGACTGGCTGGGGTCCCGAGCTCCCGGACCTGGAAGTGGAGGGGATTGGGTGCTGGGACTCCCTGGATCTTGAGAGAGGACAGGGCTGAGAGTCTGGATCACCGGGGCTTTAAGGTGTGGGCTTGGTGCCTGGATTCTTTGGTCTGTTCTTGGATTTGAGAAGATTGGGCTGGGGCCTTGGAAGTCTGAGTGCCGCAGCCAGGCACTCAGGATCCCAGGACAGCTTCCTAGGACGAATGAGGCCTGAAGGCTGGGTCTTTGGATTCTCGTTCTGAGACTGGGATGGATTGTGGTGGAGCGTGGGGGATCACAGACCCCGCTAACCTGTTCTATCCCTTCGTTCCACAGAGCTACCCTCCGCTCCTACCATTCACGGGGATTCCGGAGCCCTCAGAGCCCCTGGCCGGGGCAGGGGGCCCGGGCTGGGGCGGCCGTGGCTATGAGGATTACCGGCGCGCCGGGCCGCCCGCGCCCCTCGCCCTGTCCACCTGCGTCGTGCGCTTCGCCAAGACCGGCGCGTTGAGGGGCGCAGCCCTGGGGCCCCCCGCCGCACTACCGGTCCCTCTCGCCGAGGCTGCGCCCCCAGCGCCCCCCGCTCGCCCACCCCCGGGCCCCGGCCCTGCCCCTGCGCCCGCCAAAGCCTCCCCCGAGGCGGAGGAGGCGGCGCGCTGCGTGCACTGCCGGGCTCTCTTCCGCCGCCGCGCGGACGGGCGCGGTGGTCGCTGCGCGGAAGCCCCGGACCCGGGTCGCCTGCTGGTGCGTCGGCTCAGTTGCCTGTGGTGCGCCGAGAGCTTGCTCTACCACTGCCTGTCGGACGCCGAGGGCGACTTCTCGGACCCGTGCGCCTGCGAGCCGGGCCACCCGCGCCCAGCGGCGCGCTGGGCCGCGCTGGCCGCGCTCTCCCTGGCGGTGCCCTGCCTCTGCTGCTATGCGCCCCTGCGCGCGTGCCACTGGGTCGCGGCGCGATGCGGCTGCGCCGGCTGCGGGGGTCGCCACGAGGAGGCGGCGCGGTGAGGACGGCCTGGTGGGTCCGGTAGCTGCACTGAGGACCCCAAATTGAGGGTCCAGGACCCTGGACTCTGTTCGGACCCCCACACCCAAACCTAGGCACACCCGGAACTTGGAGCTTGAGTTTGGTTTGAGAGACCCCAGACCTGGAACCTGGACCCCAAATCTAGGACTCAGAGACCCCAGACCCAGCTTCATTGGGATGTCTGTCCAAGAGGTCCCAGGCATCCCGAATTCGGGCGTCCCCATCCTGCCACCAACCCCCTCCCTGACCTAGACTGAGGAGACTCCAGGCATCCCCAAACTCTTCACCTCAGGCAGGCTGGGGAGCACATGTATCCCTGAGAGACGCAGGGTCCAAACCCCGACTCCCTGTTCAAATAACCAACCCAGACCCCATCATGCCTGACACCATGAACCCTCAGATTACAGTGAGTCAGGAGTTGCCAATACCTGACCCTGCCTGCATATAATTACTCCCAGATTTTGAGACCATAGAACCCAGATTCACCCCAAATGATTCTTGAATGCTCACCTAAAACTTGGGGCACGCATATCTGAGATATTCTTGTAGCCCCCAGGACCCTGGAGGCACCAAACCCTCTTAAGATGCCCTGAGTCCATAGGTATGCCCAAACAGATGTTCTCTGACCAAAATGACATGTGAGACCCATCTCCGAGTCTCCCCCTATCCTCCCCACCCAAGATCTAGATGTCAGACTCCAGGATGTTCTGGGAACCAAGGATCAAAGACCTCTGTAGACCCACTCACCCCAAGCCAGTGTTCCCAGAGCTTTGGATCTCATATATAGGACTCTGAGGTGCCTAGTACTCCCAGATGTAGTACTGAAGACCACCAACACCTTAGGGCCCAAGGCACTGGTCTCAAGTCCTCAGATAACCCTCTTTCAAAATCCCTTAGACTTGGATTTCAAGCCCCAGAATGGCCTGGAATCTTTGGCTGCTTTGTACCCACAGATCCCCAATCCCCTCAAGGCTGGAAGCTCAGCTCCCAGATGTTGGGATGTTCATGGCAACCCAGACCTCTCACCCCTTGGCCCCCAGCTCCTGAATGATCCCGAGGTGCTTTGGGAGCACTGGTTCCAAGACCCCAAGGTGCCATTGGTCCCCCAAATTCAGGGCTTAAGCCTACACAACATTGGGATTGTCCCTGACTCAAGACCTTGGTCCCTCCATACCAGAGACAACTGACGTGCTCCAGGACCAAAGCACCTTCAGATCCCAGATTTCTTTGGACCCAGACCTCTTAAGCCTGATATTCCCTGAGACCTGCTGCCCTTGAATTCTGCTGTCCATAAGTCCCTGAAACCCCAAGGTCCCAGACCTCTGATTTCAAGCCCCAAGGGCCCCAGCCCAAGCCCCCAGCATCTCACAGAACTATTCCTTTACTAGGGTAAAAAACAAAACCAAAAAAACCCATCATCTTGAGCTCCTGTTCCTGGACTCCAGGAGCACCCCAGAGCTCCCCACACCCATCTCTAGGACCTAGCATTGTCATAGATGATTGTGCAGGCTGTTCACTAAGCAAAGACACAAGTCAAGGTGGGGGTGTGGCTGGAATTCACACCACACTCTGCTGGCTGCACTGTGCACAGAGTCACTTTTTAGGCTAGCTACAGCTCTACACACACACACACACACACACACACACTCTCTCTCTCTCTCTCTCTCTCTCTCTCTCTCTCCCCTTGCACTCTGTCCCAAGCCCAACCTTAAGCCCCAGCCCTAGTCCAAGTTTTTTATGTTTTGCCCTGTTAACTCCTTCCTCTCCATCTCAGAGTTGGGGGTTGCTTTGTAAAGTTTGAAAGCCGCTTTCATGGCCCTCTGTGATGCCACAGTCTCTTTTCCCTGAGTGGAACGGGACTTTTGGGGTACCTCAGGTCTGATGGCCTGAAGCAGAGGACTAAGGTCTTGGAGCAAGACAATCTCAATGCTGTATGGGCTTGGGACCCGCATGTGGTCCCAAGCATCTGGAAATGTGCACTTACCTTTCTTCATTACCCAGACTTGGATGGCCTTGTAGGGGTTCAAGGGATAGGTCAAGGGGGTCAGAGGGCTAGATCCTTCTGTCACTTCCTTTAAATTATTAACTATTTATTACATCCGGAACCTGTGAGATTCCGCTCTCCCAACCAGACCCTGGGATGGGTGAGAGAAAAGGGGGATGTCCCTCCCATCCCCACTCTGCCCAGCTCTCGTCACTGTCAGACCCACCAGAGCTGAGGGCGGAGGGACCGGGGGGGCTGGGGCGGCCTGGGTCCCCATCCCCCTCTCTGTGCCTCGGTCTCCTCCCTTCCGTGGTGGGCGGGGGGAAGCTCCATTCTTAACCTACCTCGTTTTGGGGAGGGGTGGGACGGGGACCAGAGTGCTGTAAGGTGCTGTGGGATCTGCGGATGAAGCGGTGGGAGCTGGGGAAGGTTCCCCCAGCCCCCACCTCCCAGCACCGCCTCCCCAGGTCTCCCAGTCCTGCTCCCTGCTGATACCCACCTCTGATCCATGATTACTCTTCATCACCCCCAAATCAGGGGTGCATGGAGGGCTGACCCTGGGAGCCAGGAAGACCTCAGACCCTGGAGCCCCCAGGCCCAATTTCCCAGCTGCTTGCCCCTCAGATTGGATGCTTGGCCCCCAGACTTGGGGGAGGCACCCCGACATTTATCTTCCTGATCTTGATTCCAAGCCAGTCTGTGACCTCAATATTGTTATCGTCAGTGCAGGCTGCCGTGGCGGGGGGAGGATGGGGGCCAAAGACCCAGCCTTGTCATTGGGGGAGGGGGCATGAGATATTCGCTCCAAGAAATGTCTGTGACAAAGTCTCAGCCTGTGTCCTTTATTTGCATTGATGCACCCCATCCAGTCACCTTCCTGAACCACCAAACCAGTCTCCTACCCAATTTGTCCTTTCTCCTTCACATCCTTTAGTCCCAAGCAGACCCTCCAGCTGAGTTTTATACATTCAGTCACTCAAGTACACTCACTAAACCCCCATCATATGCCAGGCCCTGTTCTCAGCACCGAGGATAACGTAGCGAACAGAACAGACAAAATCCTTCCCCACGAGCAGCTTATGAACTTTACAACGAAGGAGACAATAAATGACATGTTAGAAATTATATGCCCTATAGAGAAAAGTAAAGTGGAGATGGGGGATACAGTCATGTTCAGCCAGGGTCCTCAGGGAGGCCTCACTGAGGAGCCTGCATCCGAATAAAGCCTTGAAGGAGGTGGAGAGAGTCCTGTGGAAGTCTGCAGGAAGAACAGTCTAGGTAAAGGGGAACTGTCCATGCAAGTCCCTGAGGGAAGAGCATGTCTAGGTAAGTTTGAGGGACATCAAGGGAGTGAGTGTCTGGAGGGGAGGAAGCAGGGAGGAAGGTATTTGGGGGATGAGGGCAAGGAGATGACAAGGCAGATCTGTGGGTCCTTGAGAGCCATTGCATGGATTTTGCTGGTCACCCTGAGTGAGCTAGAGATACGGGAAGGCTCCAAGCACGGCAGGGCTGTGACCTGACTCAGGTGTTTACACGTTACCTCTGGCTGCCTGTAGGGAACAGACACTGGGGGTGGGTGGTTGGGTAGGGAGCAGGGAGGAGGCTGCTGTGATGGTCCAGGGGGAGACAAGAGTACAGGAGGTCAGGGTGAGAACAGTGGAGGCATGGAGAAGTGAGCAAGATAATGGATCTACTTTGAAGCTAGAATCCACAAATTTATTTATTTATTTATTTATTTTAAAGATTTTATTTATTTATTTGACACCGAGAGAGGGATCACAAGCAGGGGGAACGGGAGAGGGAGAAGCAGCCTTCCCGCTGAGCAGGGAGCCTGATCCCAGGACCCTGAGATCATGACCTGAGCCAAGGGAGACGCTTAACGACTGAGCCACCAGGCACCCCTAGAATCCACAAATTTAGATAAAGAGTTTTCAAAGAAGAAAGAAATCAAGGCTGGGATTCCAAGGTTTTGACTGGAGCAATTTTAATGTTTTATTAAGGTCAACAAATGGTCCCAAGTACCCAGCCTTGGGGAGGCAGCACTATGGAGGATTATTTTAACAACAGCAACCAAAACAGTAGCAGTACTAACAGTGGTAATAGGTTAAGTGATTAAAAGCATCGACTTTGGAATCAGATGTGAATTTGAGTCCTGGCACCACCACACATTCACTCTGACTTATCCTGTCTGAACCTCCGTTTCTCCTCCCTAAAACGGATCTAAGATACTTAGCCTAGTAGCACACACAAAATGCTCAATATATATTAACTGAGTACCCCTATATGTCTACTAAACACTTACAGGACTCTCAACCTCACAGCTCTTAAAAAGTATGTTTTATCCCCATTATACAGATACGAAGCAATTTGGCAGGGACACAGAGGTGGTGAGTGGTGGAGTCAAGTCCTAACCCTTGTTTGCCTAACTCCCACGGTGCAATCTCTTAATCACGACAGTGTATTGCACCTGCTCCCTCTCCAAGGCCTAGGGGGAAAGAGGGGTGAAGGCCCAACTGGTGCGTTGCGATCGATGAGGACTGGTGTGTGTAAGGGGGCGAGCCGGGCTTCCTGAGGCCCTGACGTAATTCCAACCCTATGCTGGAAAAGAGGAAGTAAGTTTCTGCATTTGGAGCGGAGTTGGGAGAACAACGCTTGGTCTAGGGTGCTTCAAGAGCGAAGGGCATCTGAGGGAGGCTGAGAAAAAGAAAACCCAGTTTCTAAGTCTCAGCAATAGCGACACCCGCTGGCCTGTCGCGACAGCTAGGATCCCGAATGCACGCGCCGGATTTACAGAGCCGGGGTCTTTCCCCGGTCTGGACCGCGTTATCCGACCCGCGGCGCTCTAGCTCTCCGCGCCGGAGGACCTGGGGGCGGGTTCTGCTGCCTCCTGCACCAATCGGGGCGCCGAAGGCCCTTAGGGGCTGATTGGTCGCCGCCGCCGCAGGGCGCCGACCGCGCACGCCGCTCCTGGGGCGGGGCCTCCCGCCGGCCGGCAGGGGGCGCGCGCCTGGAGAAGAGACGACACTTTCATGGAGGGGGCGGAGGCGGAAGAGCGGGAGGGGGCCGCTGTGGCCCGGGACCTGCGGGCCTTGGGGTAAGGGGAACGGGGTGTGGCTGGGGGAGGGGGCGGGGGTGCAGGAAGGGACAGGTTTGCCCTCAGAAATTGCTATTGGCCTTCCCAACCCCCTCCCGCTGCCTCGGCCCCGCCACAGGTATGAGGGCTTCTCGGGGGCGCCGTCGCTGGGCACCTCGTGTCCAGACTTCAGGGCGCTGTGCGCGCGGCTGGCGGCGGAGCTGGCGACTCTGGGCGCCCTGGAGCGGGAGCGAGGGGAGAGCGCGGAGGCTCTGAGAGCCGACGACGGTACGTGTGGAGCGGGCGGCCCGGAGGGGTGGGGCCGCGGGGGTCGCCGCCGCGCCCTGACTTCTCCGGCCTTCTGCAGGCCCCGGCGCCGAGGAAGAATTCCTGCGACAGTTGGCCGGCCTGCTGCAGGAGTTGCACTGCCCAGACCGCGCGCTCTGCGGCGGCGATGGCGCGGCGGCGCTGCGGGAGCCCGGCGCGTGCCTGCGCCTGCTGCGTGAGCCCGGGATGCGGAAGTGGGCGAGGCTACGGCCTCCAGAGGGGCGGGCTCAGCATATTCAAGTGGAGCCAGGGTTCGCCCCCCCGGGGGCGTGGTCAGAATTGAGGCGCGCGAGAGGGTTCGAGGTGGGTGGGGTTCGAATTTGGACGTGAGTGTCTTGAAGTTCAGGTGGGTTGGATTTGATGTAGCCGGCCAGGTGGTCCCTCTTAGGTGGGGTTCGAAGTCCGAGCAGGGGACCGGGTCTCAAAGTGGGTGGAGCTTATCCTGGAGGTAGAGCCGCGGTTCTAGGTGGGCGGAACTAGAAGGCCGGAGTATTGGAAGCCTGGAGGTTTTGAAGCCGTTGGAGCTTTTTGACCCCGGTGGGTGGGGTGGCAGCCCTCCTTGATTGCAACGCTCCCTTTCCCTTATAGGCTTTCTCTGCTCGGAGCTCCAGGCTGCCCGCCTCCTCCGTTTGTACCCCCGGCTGGATCCCAGCCCCGCACCGCCCTGTGGAGAAGGGGCAGAGGAGGGAGCTGGCATGGTCCAGGAACTGGTCCTTACCCTCCAAGCTCTGGGGCTGCCCAGACCCACGCCTGGGACCGCCGCCAGCCAGCTGCTGTGGGAGTTGCATGACAAGGTAGAGAGCTGGAGTCCTTTCCGCACCGGGGCCACCCCACTTTCCTTGTAGGGAGAGAGTCCTTTTTTTTTTTTCTTTCAAAGATTTTATTTATTTATTTGACAGAGAGAAAGAGAGAGCACAAGTAGGCAGAGAGGCAGGCAGAGGGAGAGGGAGAAGGAGGCTCCCCGCTGAGCAGGGAGCCCGACCCTGGGCTCGATTCCAGGACTCTGGGATCATGACCTGAGCCCCCAGGACCCTGGGATCATGACCTGAGCGGAAGGCAGCCGCTTAACCAACTGAGCCACCCAGGCGCCCCAGGGGGAGAGTCTATGCTCCAAAAGCGGCTCTGGCCCGAGTGCCCCAGCCACGGGGATGTTGTTCTAGAGCTGTGACCACCATTCTTGATTCCGAGGCCTGGGTCCTCAGGGCCATGGGGGAACTGGAATCCACGGAGAGTACATCTGGTTTCTGCCCGGTCAACCTCAGACTCCCTTCTCCCGTCAGATCTCTGAGCTGCTGCCTTCCCTGCCCCCAGGGTTCCTGCAGCCCCTCCTCAGCTTCCCGCTGGACGCACCCAGATGGGTAAGACTATGTATGACTGTATGCGAGCAGCATCCTCCCCGGAGATGGGAGTGAGGGGGACCCTTGGGATGACTGAGACCTTTTCCCCAGGAGGCATTGGACTCTCTGTGCCAAAGGCTGGGAGATCAGTACTGCTGCCGCCGCTGCCTGCTCCTGAAACGCCTGGACCTCACAACATCTTCTTTCCACTGGAGTGATCGGGCAGAGGTGTGGGAAAAGGACTTGGGCAGGAGCAGGGAGGCCCAGTTGTGGGGGTTACCACTACAGGAAGGAACAACAAGGGCAAGGAATATGACCTTACAGCAGATTCTTAGAATCTTGTAAGGTTTGGGGTTCTAGAATTTCAGGGCCTCGAGGGCATTCTAGAATCTAGAGGTCCAGGGCATTCTAGAATTCCTAGCTCTGAGCTGGGAGTCTCTCCAGAGCTATACCTCTTATTTAGAGATGTGGGAGGTGAGGCCCTAAGTGGAGAGAGAGATGCTTCAAGAGGACAGATCCCACCTGGAGGGCTCTTGGCCACCTTCTCCATGCCCCTCTCCCCAGGCCCAAGGAGAAGCCATGAAGGCAGTGCTGATCCCAATTCGAGAGGCTCTGACCCCAGAATCAGATGTCTCTGTTGCACACGTCCTGGCTGCCCGAGCAGACCTGTCTTGTCTTGTCCCAGCCACCAGCAAGGCTGCCCGCCAAGGGACCTGCTGTGCCATCAACAAGGTGGGCGCCTGGGAGTGGGGAAGGGCCCCTACATCCTTGGCCTTCAAACTTGGCTCTCTGGTCCCCTTGTTCATTTTTCTTCCTGACACACAAGTCTGATCAACTCTCAGGTGCTTATGGGCAACGTGCCAGACCGGGGGGGCCGTCCAAATGAGCTGGAGGCTCCCATGCCCAGCTGGCAGAGCAGAAGAGAGGATGGAGGTGGGCGGAAGGCAGGCCGCCAGAACTGGGGTCGCAAGAAGAAGAAGAAGTAAAGGGGGACTGGTGGTTTGGGGGGGTCCTCTGTGACATGCTAATGCCATTGGTAATCCTTGGGGAGTCACTTTGGGTTTCTCTTGGTATCTGGCTCCCAGGCCCCACATCCCCTGCTCCTAAGGTCCCAAATGTCCTTCCCCCATCCACCACTCAACAACAAGGACCATGTTCTCTGGAAAATAAATTTAATTTATGACAGCTATAGGACCTATCTCTGGGGGGGGCCAGGTCAGGGGTGCTCAGGTTTGTGGAGGGGTAAGGGTGTCTTTGTCCCCTGGATCTCAACAGACCCCTGTTGCTCTGACCCTCATAGTCCTCTGCTCTTTAGCAACACATCTTTCCCTTCCTGTGGGCACAGGGAAGGAGACATGCAGGCATTGGACAAAGAGTTCTCAGGTACCCACCATGTGCTAGCCCTGTTCTTGGCACTAGGGATACAGCAGTGAAAACATATAGATCATAAAACCCTTGCTCTTCTGGAGTTGACAGTTTCTGGTGAAGAGGAGCAGACATTCAACAAGATAAATAGATAAAAAGTATAGTTTGTTAGATGGGTAAATGACTTTGGAGAAAAACAAGGCAGAGCAGGACTGGGGGGTGGATTGCAACTTTGAGTATGGTCAGAGGGGCCTCCGAGAAGGCGACATTAGACCTAAGTCCCAAAGAGGGAGACATGTGGGCCTCTGGAAGAGCATTCTGGGCAGAGGGAACTGCCAGTGCAAAGGCCCTGAGGTAGGCAATATTTTTGGCATGTTCAGGGACCATAGAGGCCAGTGTAGCTGAAGCAGGATGAGTAAGGGGGTGAGTGGTGGTAGGTGAGGTCAGAGAGGTGACGGAAACAGATTGTGGGAGGTGGGCCGCAGTGAGGATTCTGGCTTTTCCCCTGGGTGAGAGGGAGGCATGGAAGGGCTCTGAGCAGGGGAGAGACTCAGGTGTTCACAGGCTCCCTGTTCCACCCCTACTCTAGCCTTCTGTCCTGTCTCTGGAACCCCAGAGTTAGGAATATAAGTGCCCAGCCTATCCCCTCCCCGGCCTGACCTGTGCTGTCAGTGTAGCGTACTGGTGAGGAGCTTCCATCTCAGAGGCAGACAGAAGGCCTTGGACTTGAGTCCTGCCTCCAACACTTAGGGGCTCTGCCACCTTGGAGAGCAGCTTAACCTCCCTGGGCCCCAGCTCCCTCGTCTGTGAAATGGGGATGTAAGGAGTTGGTGGGATGATACTTAAGTCTAGACATATCCAACATGAAACCGCACAGATATGAAGTTCGGGGAAATGGGAGTACAGGTTGTGGCCACTCTGAGGCAAAGGAAGAAAATAACTTTCCGAGTAAGAGGAGATGAACTCTTCACCAAAGGCGGTGTGGATGGGAAGGCGGAGGTGCCTTTGGGGGTCCTGCTGGAGGCCGAATAACAGGACTTGGGACTGACTCTGGGGGAGGTGAGAGACAACAGACCAAGCAGGGTCTAGGAATTCAGCTTGGAGGACTGGGCGGGCGGTGAGGCTGTCGTTGGGAGGGGCACCTGGAAGGAGGAAGACACTGGGTCACGTGGGGAGGATGTGGCGTCTAGGAGTCCGGGCACTGCCAGGGGCAGAGCCTCACCCAGACTTTGTTTAGTAGATGAATGAAAATGCCTCTGGATGTTCTGGTTTTTTAATTCAATCCGAAGGTCTCTACCTTTGAACAGCGAAATTTACTGCACTGACACCAGTTACAGCTCCTGATGTATTTGGTCTTGTCCTTGCCATTTTCTTCTTTTTCTTTTTTTCTCCTTAAAATCCCTTTTCTGTTCTACTGTTGGCTACCCCCCTTCCCATTCCAGTGTATTGAAAATTTTATTTTTCTATCAATGTTACAAACTAACCAGGGTCTGTACCCTCCTGCCCACACAATTGAGGACTCTTGCACCTTTTTACTTTCCTATGCTTCCCCAAATCTGCCCGGGTTCCCCCAAGCAAATGGCCTGGACTCCCCTGTATCCAGTTGATGGTGGGGGGCCGTTCTCCTTACCGTCTCTGGTTCCCAGGAAGGCTGTGGAGGCTCTGTCTGGGTCCAAGCATGGCAAAGGTGGCACCCTGTCTCAGGTTCCAGGGATAGTGTGTAGGAGAGATTGTCTTCCAAGCCTGTTTGTGGGGTGATAGATGAGAGGGATGTGGGTATGATGGAAAGGGCCTCATGACCTTGGACTTTTATCCCCATCCATCAGGCCCCCTTCCCAGGACTGCCACACCCTGGGTCTTACCACAGCTGGCGTGGGGAACCGGTGTGGGTGGGACGGGGGCTCCGGGGGGGCTCATGTCGCCCTTGGCCCCTGGCCTCTTCTTACACTCCACCTTCACACGGTCCTTGCAGTGTTTGTGGCAACACAGCCCACAGTCTGGGAGAAGGTCAGCAGTTAGTGGTCAGAGGCCCAGCCTGCGCCCCGCCTTCATCCGGCCTGTAGGTGCTGGACTCCCTCCCTACCACCGAGGCCTCACTCACCCTGACAGCGGTAGCCTTGCTTGGTGACACCCCAGAGCTGGGAAGAGAAAGCAGAATTGGTGACGTAGGCTAGGGGAGAGAGGGCTGTGGATGGGGCTGGGGTTGGTCTCCGGGAGTGTAGAAACCATCTGGTTTGGGAAATCCTCAAGGCTGGAGGCTTAAGTGGGAACTAAAGGAGTTTGGGGTTATTGTAAGTTTGGGGAGTCATCTAGGATGTTAGAATTAGACACAATCTGGAATTAATGAACTATAAATTCTATGGGCAGGGATTGTATCTGTTGTGCATTCTGCTGTGTGCCCCTCTCCCCAGCCCTCAAGTCTAGAACAACCTGGCGCACTGGAGGTATTCTGTGAATAGGAAGTGAATGAAAAAGTGGGTTTGGGAAGTGATCCAAAGTTCGTGAATTAGTCTTGGTTTGGAGATTGAGAGATCTGTCCATTATCCAGAGTTTGAGGATGCCTTGAATTTGAAAAGTATCCAGGGTTTGAATTATCTGGAGTCTAAAGACTTGGAAATGGATTCTGTTTGGAGATAATCCACCCAGGTTTGTAGATTAGGGTTTTGGATATCCATAGTTTGGCAGTGATCTAGGATGCAGATCATCTGGGATTTGGGCACTATCTAGATTCTGGGCATAGCCAGTGTTTAGGGTTTATATGGGATGTGGGGATTATTTGAGACTAGGGGATTTTCTGGAATTTGGTGATCATCTGGGGCTTGGGGACTGGGAGCCCTCCAGGGCAGGGCTGGCCTTCTGAACCCAGGCTGTGAGGAGTCAGGACTCGGGACTCTCCAGGGGAGATGGGCCCTGATAGAGGGGCAGGGTGCTCACAAAACCACTGCAGCTATCACAGAAGGTGGGCTTGCGGAAGGTGACCTCCTGGAAGTTGTGCAGGAAGGCCAGGCCCAGCTTGGAGCAGATGGCACTGGCCTGGAGCAGGTAGCCCGTCAGCTCTTCTCGGCTGTAGGAGCCATTCCTAGGGTCAGAGATTACACCTTAGTGTGAATGGCCCCTTTCCCCCAGGAGTCCTGGCAGCCTCAGCATCCTCCCATCCTCATCTTTGGGGGACCTAGAAGTCAGGAGTATTTACCCCTGGTGGGGGGGTGGGTGAAGCCCATGGCAGGCGAAGGGGAAGTTGCCTGAGAGTCGCTCAAAGTCCTCCTGAGAGATGGTTCCTCGGCCTTCAGGGTCATAATTCTTGAACACAGACTTCAGTGGAGTATGGGAAGGAGAGAGTAAGGCCAAACCATGATCATCAAGGTCTCAGATCTCCTCTGGGTTAGGACTGTACAGATACATTCCTTCCTGGCCCCCCCAGTGGCCAGGCCACAGTCCCCTCCTTACCTCCACCAGCAGCTCCACGTGGCGACCCAGGGTGGCCCTGTCGGGCTTGGGTGTCACGCCAGGGGCCCACTCCACCACCAGGGGCGCTTTGAAGGGGGAGGGTGGCTGGGGCAGGGACAGAGGGGCACAGTTAGTGCATGGGCTTGGGCTGGTGGGCAGGGGTCAGGGGTCAGTTCTCACCAGACTCTTGGGACAGCGGGGCTCGCGGGCGTAAGAAAGCTCATAGATCTCATCCTCCGTGTAGAAGAGATCCAGGGAAAGCTGGGGGGTGGGGGGGGAGGGCGTTACAGATTCTCACCTCCATCCTCCTACCTACAGCCTGCGCCCTCCCCACTTTCATCCTCTTTCCAAAGCCCCTCTTCTCTGGGGACTCCTAGGCTCCTCTCTCCCACCGAGCCACCATTCCGTCTCCACACCCCCGTTCCCTAGTCCAGAAATGCCACCTTCTCACGGAGGCTTTTTTTGGGGGGGTCCTATTTAAAATGGTAAACCCCTATTACTTTCCTTGCTCGTTTCTACTTTAGTTTTCACTCTTAGCACTTATCCTCCAAGAGACCATATGATTTATTCATTTACTTTGTTTTATTGGCTGTCTCCCCTACTGGGAAGTCAGCCCCACAAGAACAGCAGTTTTTTTTTTTCCTGACGCGCTGACTGCTGTGAGCCTAAGTGCCTAAAGTAGTGTCTGGCTCACAGCAGGTGCTCGATAAATATTTGGGCTCGATGGCCTTCTAGAATCAGCAAAGCACAGAGCCTTGGGCACCAATCATCTTAGGGCAAGGCCAGCTTCACAGGCAGGCCCCACACTTGGAAGGGCCCTACTTCATTTAATGCCCTGCTGTCACCGTCTTGAAATTATGAAGAATTTTGAACAAGGAGCCCCACATTTTCATTTTGCACGGGGCACTGCGAATTATGTAGCTGGTCCTGTCTTGGGGTCCGAAAATCAGTCTTAGACTCCATGGCCTTTAGAATCCCAGTCTCTCTCAATTTCTAGCTCCACGGGCAGGGCAGGAGGATACATATATAAAATTATATTATATAAATAGCATACAGCCAGAACCCCACACTCCCAGTGTGAGGATGTAGTGTGGTGGTTAACATACGTTAACACACAGGTTCTGAGGCTGACCTGCTTGGGTTCAAATCTGGGTTTTACTGCCATGGGACAGCAGACCAGTGACTTCCCCTTGTGGGCCTCAGTTCCCCAATCTGTAGAATGGGCATGACAAGGATGCGGATCCCCCCACACCCAGGACCCCAAATCTCTACAGCCTGCAGTTTCAGTCCCCGGGCACCCCGGGCAGGGCGGCTCACCGTGAGCAGGTGCAGCAGGTCCTCGCTGGCGCTGCACGGCGGGTGCTGCCTCTGGAGGGCCGCCAGCTCCTGCAGCCGCAGGTAGAGGCTGTTGAGTTTGGGTAGGTGCAGGCGGCCGTCAGGCAACCTGTCGGGCTGTGCCTCGTGCAGGGACACCAGGTCTTTGAGGTGCACGCCCAGTACGGGCAGCCGGAAGCCCGTGCAGTCAGCCCAGGTGCGGCGGTAGCGCGCGTAGTTGTTATGGGCAGCAAGCAGCTCAGACAGCTCTAGCAGGGCCTGTGCGTGAGGGCGTATTATGGGGAGCAGGGAATGTTATGGGGGAGGCCATGTCTGCTCCCTTAGCCTCCTGGAGGGGTTATCCTGGCAGCCTCCCGTTT